CATGAGTAGGAGCTGGATACATGTGCTCCTAAACATTTTTCAGACTTGGGAGTTCCCAACAACAGATCTTTTTGCAACCACACAAAACACCAAATGGCTGCAGTTTGGTCCAGAGCAGGACTCAGTCCATACTCTCTCAGTGATGCCTTCCTCACCAGATGGAATGCTCCCCTCCTATACGCCTTCCCTCCCACCTCTCTCCTAGTCTGAGTGCTTCACAAAATCAGACAGGACAGAATCAGAGTGATCCTAATAGCCCCCATATGGTCTCGACAAACGTGGTATCCTTATCTTCTACAGATGGCGGCGTGTCCAACACTCACACTCCCGCTTCTGTCTCGGCTTCTGTCTGAGGACACAGAACGCATCCTCCATCTGGATCCTCAAAAACTCCAACTCAAAGCGTGGTTACTTCATGGCTCTCGGGATCTGAAATGACATGCTCCACAAACATACATAACATTTTGTTAAACGAGATGTGTGTCCCCCTAAGGGTGCTCCACTACCCTTCCTCCTCCCTTCTACTTTGGAGTTTCACACTAATGGTCTGCAGTAGAGAAGGAACAGAGGGGGGGTTGGTCGCACAGTGCCAGATAACCACCTGAAGTGGTGCGAGATGGGGGTCGCACATGTGCAACCCAACCGGGAACTGCTACCATAAATCTCCAATTATGAGTGCAGGGGCGCACAAACACCTAAAGTGGAGCACCCACAGGGTAACATCTCGAAGAACCTATGTTACTGCATAAGGTAACTTTCTCATCTCATCTCTATCCTGCACAAGTGGGTGTAGAATGGCTTTTCTACTATCGGAGACTACAGATATACTATAGGAGATAACAAAATGGGCAGAAAAGAATCTCCCTCCCCAGGTGATACATATAAAAGGGAAGTTGAATCAGAAAGCAAATTGGCTCAGCCATTGCACAGTCAGCAGAATAGTACCTGAACCAGGAAGTCTTCACTCTGATCTTAAAGATGCTTGGTTTCCTCTTGGTTGATCTGTTTGCAAGTTACAAAAAGACCAGCAGCTGAAATACTTTACCAGGGAATCAGCTCCCAAGTTCCTGGGAACAGAGCTCTGTCATACAAATGGCCAGAAAGCTTGTGATATGCATTCCTGCCCTTCCCTCTCATAAGAAAAATAATTCAAAAGATAAAGCAGAAGCAAGTAAAGGAGATAGTGATAATTCTGTATTGGCCAAAGAAGCCCTGGTTCTCTGATCTGCTAGAGCTGAAATTGCAACCATTATTACAGCTGCCACCCAGACTGGACATCCTTGCCCAAGGCCCTTTCCTCCACCCAGACCCAGACCATCTTCAGCTGAGAGCCTAGTTATTGAAAGGGAAACGTTAATAGCACTAGGCCTATCTTCCAAAGTGATAAGGAGTTTGCATGAGTCCAGGAGAGTCTCCATGATAAAAGCTTATTCCTCCATCTGGACCAAGTTCAGCATTTGATGCCAGGAGAGCAGTGCTAATCCAAGAGATCTGGAATTCCAGCTATCCTGGACTCTTTCAAATAAGGTATGGATAAAGGTCTTCAGTCTACCACCATAGCATGCCAGGTATCTGCCACTCGTAGCATTCTATTCAGAGGATCTTCAGGTTCTTTGGCATGTAATCCCAAATTAGTCAGATTTGTCAGAGCAGTCAAACCAGTCTTCTCTAAATGGGTCCCACCACTGGTGTTGAAGGCCCTAGCCACTCACCCTTTCAAGCCCCTGACTTGTATATCAGCATTTTGTCTCTCCATCAAAATCTGTTTTCTGGCTGCCATCATGTCTCCTGGGCAAGTTTCAGATCTGGCAGTCCTATTTATGCAAGGACCCTATTGAGTGTTCCATGAAGACAAGAGGGTACCGAGAACTGCAGTTGTTTCTCCCCAGCGTGAAGTCTGCTTTCCGTAACTTGCAGGAGACTATCCTTCGTTCCTTCTGCTCAAAGCCACAGCACCCACCCAAGAAGCTGGGGCACAATTTAGATGTCAGAAAAGCACTGAAAATCTACATCAAGTGCACAGAATCCACAAGGTCAGGCCCTGTTTGCCTTCTTTCACCCGAAATGTCAAAGGCTCAGAATCTCCAGGCTGTCTCTGGTTAGATGGATCAGACTGTGCATTGTTGAAGCTTACAAAAAGTGTCAGGCACTTCTCTTTCAGAAGCTATCCAGGCACACTCCACGAGATCCATGGCAACCTTGTGGGCCGAATGAGTGTGTGCCTCTATCACAGATATATGCAGCGCAGCCACATGGTCATTGGTTAATAGCATTGTCAAACATGACAGAGTCCTATGCAAAAGCCTCTGTCCTATGCAAAAGCCTCCTTTGGCAGAAAGGTGCTCCACGCAGTGGTCCAGTAATGCCTTTTGGTCAATCCTCAAGGGGGAGGAGATCTATTTAACTATTTTTCTATTTACCTTTTCTTGTCTCTCCCCACTCCTGTACACTGCTCACTACTTCTCACGTGTAACAAAATTGCGGGTGACACTGGGCTGCAGAATGAAAAATTTCTTACAATAATTTCCTTTCTGCTAGCAGCACCTCCCACAATTCTACCCAGCTTGGTGGCTTTCTGCTAAGGATCAGCCTTTTATTTGCATATTTACCATGAAGGGAGTTGGCCTGCTGTACACTTAATGCATTTGTCATTGATGTTATGCTTATAAATATTTTTCTCTAAGTTTTTCACACAGCTTTGTAATGACTCACCTGGCAGCAAGTGGGGAAAGGGGGCATGGCCAGCATGAGATGCACTGCAGCTTTGAATCACCACTGAAAGCTGCGGAGAGAAGAAGAGCAGCCCTGTGCGTAGCAGAATTGTGGGAGATGCTTCTAGCAGAAAGGAAATTATTGATTAATTTTTTTTCCATTTGATGCAACAATTTTATGAATTGTAATGGTTCGGTGGTAAGAGGAAGACTGGACAGATGCAGTAAGTTCTTACTGGCAGGTCACTTGGCCCAGCTGTTACTGTGTTTAAAGAGTCATGACAGCATACTAGCTTGGGCACCAGTGATAGCTCCTTAGCTCCACAGTGCATTGAGTTAGTGCTATAGCAGGAGCACAGGGGGAGCCTTCAAAGCACACAGACATCAGAACTCACACTGGTCCTGAGCCCACCCTATCTACATAAGTAGAGTTCTCTCTCTAACAGCCCTCTAAACAAATGAATCATTTGCAAATTGAGAGTCAGTCACCAGTATGCCTTTTGGATGCTTCCCAGAGTCATGCAAATGTAAAGTAGCTGTAACCCCTGTTTAACTGCATGGTTTTGGTGTACCAATAAATCTGCCCTTAAGTGAATAAAGAAATTATTTAAGGTTGATAGTGCATATCATATCATATTGCATGGTAGCATTCTCTTTGTGTTTCTTGTTTAGTGGTTGTATGAAACTAATAGTTTTAAAAAAGACTAACGAAATTCTCAGACAAAAAGCTATGTTACAACAGAGTTAAGAGTATACCTCAGTTACCTGAGGACAAAACATTTTATCCTGTAGTGATGACACAGTGGGGAAGAAATATGAAAAAAATATCATGTCTTTAAAAATCAGTTAAATCTAATCATGAACCCTAAACACTAAAATGCCTGAATCATCATTATATAGTTTTTGCATGACATCAGTACAGGGCAGAGTTAAGGTTGTTTTGGTGTCTTAACTGTGCACTCCTTAACATGTTTTGACTTTTTAAATGTAACTCAAATTCCCAGAATTGTAATGCTTGGTTTTGGGATAATTACAACATTCCTGTAATTTTTATTTTTACCCTTACGTTACTAAGATATACTCTCAGCCTTAACTATTTTTTGGAGGGGAGGAGCAGGGGAACACAGACTTAAATAAAAGTTATCTCTCTTGGATTTTAACCTTAAAAATGTGATGTGGACTCCTCATCTCAAAAAAGATATACTGGCATTAGAAAAGGTTCAGAGAAGGGCAACTAAAATTATTAGGGGTTTGGAACGGGTCCCATATGAGGAGAGATTAAAGAAGCTAGGACTTTTCAGCTCGGAAAAGAGGAGACTAAGGGGGGATATGATAGAGGTATATGAAATCATGAGTGGTGTAGAGAAAGTGAAGAAGGAAAAGTTATTTACTTGTTCCCATCATATTAAAAACTAGGGGCCACCAAATGAAATTAATGGACAGCAGGTTTAAAACAAATAAAAGCAAGTTTTTCACACAGCGCAGAGTCAACCTGTGGAACTCCTTGCCTGAGGAGGTTGTGAAGGCTAGGACTATAACAGGGTTTAAAAGAGAACTAGATAAATTCATGGAGGTTAAGTCCATTAATGCCTATTAGCCAGGATGGGTAAGGAATGGTATCCCTAGCCTCTGTTTGTCAGAGGGTGGAGTTGGATGGCAGGAGAGAGGTCACTTGCTAATTGCCTGTTAAGTTCACTCCCTCTGGGGTACCTGGCGTTGGCCATTGTCAGCAGACAGGATGTTGGGCTGGATGGACCCTTGGTCTGACCCAATATGGCCATTCTTATGTTCTTGAAATTTAATATTACTAAAAGATTAGTCACTAAACACTAAGTTTAGTCTTCTTGTAAGTGCATGTAAGAGTGCCTAGAATTACACTGCAATCTTCCTTCCTGCATATCCTCTTCACCCCATTTAACTAGTTTTCTGAATAATCACTCTTGAAGTAGTAATTGGCATTTGTCCTTGCATAAGCTGCCTTCAAAATGTAAGAATTAGGGACACATGGCTCGTGACATCTTAAGGGCACGTTTTCTTTCTCCAAATTGCTAACATACCAAAAATTCTAGAGTTCTTCCCAAAGAACATATTCTGAATCTATTATTTTAATTCTGCTGCAAAACAATGATCAATTTGTTGGAGGGCTGCAGGCATCTTCTAGGCAAGTAGTAGTGGAGGTATAGGGCTAATACCCTCAGTTGTTCTTACATATCAGGTTTGCAATATACCCTTGTAATTAAGTCGCTGAAAAGAAAGTCACTTTTCTAATCCACTTATGTTTACCAACAGGTCTGCATTACATTTAGTGATTTTGGAAAAATGCAGAACGTTTGCAACTTACTCGTTGAGAAACTGGGTAGTTCTGTTATCATCAGTCCACCTCACTTCTACCATACAGCAGAGGCTGTAGACACCCTTCGGTAAGTTCTCCCTCTCCTCTCCACAGAAATGCACAGCCTCAGGAAGCATTTACGTAATACATAATCCACACTGTTTAAAATGGGAAACAATAATAGTCTCCCTGTTGCCACTCCTGCCTTATACTTAAAGGAAAATTCAAGAAACTTAAAAAAGGTTACACAATTTTTATAAATCCAATTCCATTTAGCTCGCAAATGGTAAAGCTTTATCTTTCATGGAGGCTGCAGTGTCTTTGTATAAAGGCAGGAGGTAACAAGCTTTTCCATAATTTCAATAGGAAAAACAATCTGCTTTTAACATGCTCAGTCAGCATATCTGTTTTTTCAATGGAGTTAAATCAAAACAAATTAATTTTAGTTTGGGATTTGTATGGGAAGGTACAAGCATTTAACAGGCTCCATCCACTTCCCCAAGTGCTGCAGCTGTCCTTCCTTCTCTTAGCTGCTGACAACAAACTTTGAAATATACCTTTCTAAAGAAACTCCATTTCAATTACTTTGAGGAGAAAGAAAAACTTTCTAACATCAAAACATCCTCCTACAGCACTCCAGCCATAAAGGGAGAGTTAATTTGCCATGAAGGACATGAGCCAAGCACTCAGTGGTTGATGAAGGAAGGCGCCTGGGGAGATTAACTACATTTATCTGTTCCTCTTCCCCTAGTTTTTTAATTCACAATGAGATGAACTAAAAGAGCATTCAAAAGCCTGCTTTTCCCATTGATACCACCAAAAAACCCTTCTCCATCTCATCTGAAGTTCACACGCTTCAGATGGGCCTGGCTACATCCAAGAAACAAGTTCAGTCATCCACTGCTTAAAAAAAAATGTTGAAATTGCCACAGAGGTGTGGTTGTGAGTAATATGTATTCTAAATATCTAGCTATGAGTTTGTTAGCACACTGGATTGTCCCTTACAAGCTTCCTCCGCCACATGCTCCCTATGTTTAACTATCAAGCATATGAGTGGGGAAGTAGATGTGCCTTGCATCTATGTAGTCACAAAAAATAATAATTTGGCAGGAGTTTCTGTGCTATGGTTGGATCAGCTAAGCTCCCTTGCTTTTTACCTCCCAGGCGTCAAGTGTGTCTTGCTGCTGTTGGGAACACACGTCGAAAAGCTCAAGAGGTCTGTCGACTGTTCGGCCAGTCACTGGGAAAACCGCTGCTTATCAGAGAAGAGGAAATGAAAGAATGGGAAGGACAAATAGACAGTCACCCATCCAACTCCTCAGACACACTGACTGTGCAGCAGAGAATCCAAAGTGCCACTATTTATGCTTCTTCAAAAATATTTGCTATTTTTGAGATAAAGGGAAGAGAAAAGAGAAAAAAACAAGCTTATCTAGAAGCATGTTAAAGCATTTTTCTTATTTGTCTCTGACAAATCTTAGAATAAATTTATGTACTTTAAAGTACAAATTTATTCAGTTTTTTCAGACCTGTATCTTCCTCTATAAATGATCAGGAAAAACTAATTATAATATTAGTTGTCCGCCCCCCTCCCTTTCCAAAAAATAAGACCAGATTGTTCTCAGAACTACCTGGAAAGAGACACATAGTTTTATCATGGTTTTTCAAACAAATTGAAGGTGGACACCCCAAGCTACGCTGAAATCATTTTAGAGTGGAAGCCATGTTAGTCTCTATCAGCAAAAAGAACGAGGAGTACTTGTGGCACCTTAGAGACTAACAAGTTTATTTGAGCATAAACTTTCATGGGCTAAAACGCACTTCATCAGATGCATACAGTGGAAAATACAGTAGGAAGATATATATATATATATATATACACACACACACACACACACACAGAGGACATGAAAAAAATAGGTGTTGCCATACTAACTATAATGAGAGTAATCAGTTAAGGTGAGCTATTATCAGCAGGAGAAAAAAAACTTTTGTATCAATAATCAGGATGGCCCATTTCCAACAGTTGACAAGAAGGTGTGAGTAACAGTATGGGGAAAAAATTAGCATGGGGAAATAGGTTTTACTTTGTGTAATGACTCATTCACTCGCAGTCTTTATTCAAGCCTAATTTAATGGTGTCCAGTTTGCAAATTAATTCCAATTCTGCAGTTTCTCGTTGGACTCTGTTTTTGAAGTTTTTTTGTTGGAGTATTGCAACTTTGAGGTCTGTAATCGACTGACCAGGGAAGTTGAAGGAGGGCTCAAAGGCTTTATACAGACTTCACGCCATCACTAGTATTCCTCCTTTTTCTCCCACCCTTATTTATAGTGGGTAGAGTTGGGCAGGACACCAGTAGGAAGCTCATGTGTATAGCTTTTTGGTATGCTAAAGTAAAAAGGCCTCCAGCACATTTACTTTATCTCTTACACCTGGAAAAAGACTGATTAAATATCAGGTTTCTTAGATATTAATGTGTGTCCTAAGAGTTGGTCTAAACATACTAAACAAAGCAAAGATAAGTAGTTCAGTGTACACTCCTTCAAAAAAATACTGGTAGATATTCACATTACAGATTTACTTACTGCAAATATCTACAAGAACTTGTTAACATTTAGTCCCAGTTGGCCTCCATCTAGATCAATGCCCTTCAACTAGAGTGAATATATTACTTTTGAAGAAACAGTGCATGCTAGACTATTTAGCTTGCACAAAAAGCTAAAATATTTGATGTGCAGAATGTTTAGTGCTGCTAGTTGCAATGCAGCTATATTTAAAGCTTTCATCCCAAGCTAGTGAGAACTAAATTATTCATTGTCCTCAATTCACAATATTCTGATTATATATATATAGACAGAGAGAGAATGTTTTACTTGAGTAACCTCAACATAATGTATCACTCAATATATAATGCATTCAGTTCTAATGGAACTGAAATAAGCCATTAACATACGCATGAAAATAAGCCATTAACATATGTTTCATACAGAAGTTCAATTTTATTTCTTTAATAAAATAATTTACAAATCAGTTTTACCCTGGTTTCCATTTGTCCCAGTTTAAAAAAGAAATGTACTGTGCAGTTGGAGATCACATGCACAATTTACATACAATGTTAAATACTTCAGTCATGAGGGTAGATTTTTCTCAACCACGGTTGCATAATGTATTTAGATCCATCATATCTACTGAAGTAAGCTGTCAGATCAGGATTGTGTATCTGCAGAAAGAATTTTACAAATTGATTGGTAACAACAACATTACTGAAAAAGGCTTGGTGGTTTAACTGTACTGTAGCTATTAAGATTAGTTTTTTAAAAAACTCTTGAATAGCTCTTAGTTATTGTTTCTGTGGCACAAACTCAGTGAAGTTAAAACTTAGAAAAGCATTTACAAGTACACTGTATATATTTTAGTTTTTCAAGAGGTCAGAGCACTTTTACAAATAAACCTCACTTCTGTCAGATAGTTAGAGATAAGGAGACTAAGTGATTTGTCCAAATTGGACTGTCAGTGGAATCCAGAAACAAAGCCCATCTTTTGCAACAGCCTGTTCACAACAGACACCAAATTGATATTTTAGAAAATCCCAAGGTCAAACAACTGGACCCTAGGAAGGTGAAAGTAAGCAGCACCTAAATAAAATTATTAGCATTCTATACCCATTGAAGATATGTATACAAAAAGTATAGCAATATCATTCCATTTTCACCTGTACAATTTATTTAACATTTGCATATCTGCTTTTCCTATGACCTTTCTCTACCATTGCAGAATGTTGACCTATTTATTCTATACTGAGTAGGTCAAAGATCTTTTTGATTACAAAAGGGTAATAAGTTAAAATTACAAAGGACTTCATGCTTACAAAGAAAGATACTACCTCTAATCCCATAATAATTGTTATGTCCTCCTCAGGAATATAAGCTGTAGACTTGCTGAAGCTGTTGGCTTGGTTAATAAGAATTCGGTAGTGAGGAGTATCTCTTAGACCCTGTAAAAGAACAAATAAAAATAAGCCACAAGAAAGTATTCACATGAACATGTTATACTTCAGGAATAATTCCCTTAGACACAGACAAAGTCCTATCCCCCTAACATTTTAAATAAAAATTGAAGAAAAAATAAAAAGAGTCTTGTAACAAGTTAACATTCTGGAAATACTTGGCTTTTTACACAGGCAGACTGCTTTTATTTTGTGGCAAGTTTCATCACCATTAACTTCTGTTTTACATTTAATATAGTTATACATTTCTTATTAAAACCATATCATAAAAACCTCCTTGGCATATCTGAAGCACTTCTGAAAAGTTAAGATCACAAAGGACAAGATCCTCGGACTGTGCTGCCTAAAGTGCAGAAAAAGGGACTTAGAACTGCTAGGGAAAGAGAAATTTCTTACCTGACAATTTTCTGTTACCAGCTTCTCTCCAAATTTATTACTAATGGGCTACTGCCCCCCCCCCCCACCTATGCAATTCGGAGACAGTTCAGTGCTGTTGCTGGAAGCTTCAGGACTAATCGCTGCCCTTCAACTTGGGCCACCAAAAGAGTTCTTCTACAGTTGTAGCAACCCATTATTAGCATTAAGACAACTTGAGATAATGTATTAAATTAACCTTAAGACAAGTCTCACTTTAGAGAAAATTTTCAATTTATATTCTGGTCATTTCATAGAATTACAGAATATCAGGGTTGGAAGGGACATCAGGAGGTCATCCAGTCCAACCCCCGGCTCAAAGCAGGACCAATCCCCAACTAAATTATCCCAGCCAGGGCTTCGTCAAGCCTTACCTTAAAAACCTCTATGGAAGGAGATTCCACCACCTCCCTAGGTAACCCATTCCAGTGCTTCACCACCCTCCTAGTGAAAAAGTTTTTCCTAATATCCAACCTAAACCTCTCCCACTGCAACTTGAGACCATTACTCCTTGTTCTGTCATCTGGTACCACTGAGAACAGTCTAGATCCATCCTCTTTGGAACCCCCTTTCACTCTTCTCTTCTGCAGACTAAACAATCCCAGTTCCCTCAACCTCGCCTCATAAGTCATGTGGCCCAGACTGTTAGGGTGGGTTAAATTTGTAGAGAAGCTGCTAACAGAAAAATTATCTGGTAAGAAATTTCTCATTCTGTTGCACAGCTTTTCTCCTCATTTATTACTAACGAGACGTAGAGAACAGTGAATCACAGAAGTTGGGGGAGGAGGGAAAGGATAACCAGTTAATAATAATAGAACAACAGGCAGGAATGAAAATCCCTATCCCTCCCCCCATATATAGTTTTATAAACTAAGAAGTTATGCGGGATCCAGCCCAGTAGCACGTAGCCATGTTTCTACAGTGCTTGGTTGCAAGGTTCCAACTAAATGTCCGGGAGAAACTTTTGTCTAGCTGAGACCACCAGCACTTTGTGATTATTATATTTGTATTACAATAGCATATAGAGGTCCTGGTCCCATTGTGCTGGGCACTGTACAAACAGAGACAGTCCTTGCCCCAAAAGAGCTTTCTCAGAGATATGCTCTAGGAATTATTTTGGGGAAGTTCTGTGGTCTGTGTTATACCGGAGATCAGATACAAGATGATCACTGTAGTCCCTTCTGGCCTTGGAACCTGTGAATCTATGTTTCCCCTTGCACCAGAAACATAAATTTGACCAGATCAATTAATGAAATATCCTGGTTGAGTTCTAAATGGCTACCTAACTATAGCAGAGGTTAATGGAGAATCCATGATGAACACTTCTATTTTGATGCCCAGGCTGTTAACTGTAGGTGGTCCTGGTCTAAGTCCCTGCTTCAAGCGATATGGTGTTTTCTGCAGACACAATGTGGGATTCTTAGATATCTAGCAAGGCCAAAATGCCATCTGGGCTAGTGGAGGACTAGGAAGAGTACTTAAACTCTTCCTTTTCCTCCTTTCTATATCCTTTATATGAACCATCTTAAAGGTAGCAGATTATTTTCTGTCCATTGCCACAGAGAAACTTTGACCCCTGGTTACTCCCTGGTTTTGGACAGGACATAAACTCTTGCCTCAGTCATAAACCAACCTCTAATGGCAGGTAAAAGGAGACTTCCTCTGTGAGTCCTGTAATTGAGGGGTTTCTACTGATACAGTTGATACTGGCCACTGTCAGACAGGATACTGGATTTGATGGAGCACTGGTTCAATCCTATATAGCCATGTTTGTGGGGTGCTTTTTTGTTTTTGTTTTTTAAAAACACACATCCTGATAGAGATGTCAAAACCAACGAAAGGAGATTTTGGAAATTTGTCTTCCAAGTATGAAAACATCAAGTGAAAATTGGTTTTTCAGCATGTTTGTACTTACCAACCCACAAAGGGACATTCGGGTGTGATCTGAGAATGACACCTAATTTTGCATTGTGCAAAGTGCCTGGATCTTTGTCCTCAGAAGGAAATTTCTGCAGGTTCATTCTGAGAAACCCACTCAGAATTAAGTTGATGCATGGCACCAACAATCCTAGTCATTAGACATAATTGACTATTGATGACTCCTCAGGAAATTATTGATGCAATGAAGTTTTGGGTCTTCTCAAATCTTTACCATTATGGCAAAATGACGGCCAAATCCATGTCTGTTTTGACTGCTGAGTGAGTAATTCTCTGCATTGGGAACAAAGTCTTTTTTTATTTTGAAGAACTGGTAGCTATGAATCCTTTCCAGCAGCTGTCCAGTTATGAATGGGTCTATTTCTCTAGACAGGGTACTGACTGATTGGCATGTTTATGCCTGGGTGTAGGTGCATAACATGCAACCTGTTTCTTGCTGTGATTGTTACCAGCCACTTAAGACTTGGGGTGTAGAGGGTGGGTCTGAAGGAAGAGTCTTTTGTACAAGAATTGTGAGCTCTTGCACACAAATACTCTTTTTCTCTTTATCGTGCTGAGGATTTTGTTGGTTTGGAGGAAAATCTGTCTACATTTCTTTGGGAGCTTCTGCTCCAGATTTTTCCTTCTGACAGGGTAATGGTCCCTTCTTGGACACCCTTGATGTTAATAGCAACCAAGAGATTGCTGTGCTGGCTTTGATAGTGAGGGTTGTGGCCTCTCTACAGTCTCAGCTACTAATTTATTTAATGTTTCCTCCAATAGCGCCTCACCTGTAAGTCTGAATGCACAAAATATCAGTTTAGGATGGGTGATGGCTATTCATGGGTGAAACATGGCTTCCTTATAACCACCAAGTTAGAATCCATTGCCAGGATGGGCAGGGATGGTGTCCCTATCCTTTGTTGCTAGAAGGAATGGGCAACAGGGGATGGATCACTTGATGATGACCTGTTCTGTTCATTCCCTCTAAACTACCTGGTATTGGCCACTGAAGAAGACAGGATACTGGGCTAGATGGACGTTTGGTCTGACCCACTATGGCCAGTCTTATGTTCTTAACCTGAAACGTCTCACTCCAGTCAAGGATCAGACCCCTAGATAAATCACTTGTTTGCCATGAAATAGGCTTTTCTTACTAAATATATGAAAAATGTTTGGTATAAGTGAGGCTTCGAAATTACTGTGCAGTCTGTCATCACTCTTATGGTCTATGGGGTCTTTTGGAAAGAAGTACCCTTCTGAAGTTGTGACTATGTCTTTCACTGGTGGCAGTACTGCTGCATCAACAGCAGGCTCCCAACATTTATGAAATTTCTTTGTATTTATATTAATATTTTAGTTTAATATTTGATTTAATTAGATTTCCTTGTTTTGATCTTATGATACTCTCAAAAGAGGCATCAATAGAAAATAACATCTCTAATAATGCTTAAAAGGGAAGATATTTTATTAATATTGATGAGTTTGCAAGCCACTGCCATTCTGTTCTGAGAAAGTCTTGTAGATTGCTTTGGCAGTCTGTTGTTGCTCTTGGTGTTTGGTTTTGTTGTTTTGATGTTTTTTGTATATAATGCACGAGTGGTACTTCTTCCCCTGGCGGTTTACAGGGCGAAGGTAATATGCTATTCATCCTGGCAGAGGGCCCACACAACAGAAGAGGAGTACTGGTAAACATACCGGATTGTGGAAGTAACTTGCTGGATGTTCCTGGAAGTCTAAAAGGCTGTCAACCTGCTCCCCCAGGTTGGCTAGCACCCAATTAAGTATTGCAGGAGCAACCTAGTACCACTCAGGGCTTTACTCAGTAAATCTGAATTATTTTGAACATGGGAAGGGATTTCTCATGTACTCCTCTGTAATCCCATGAATGTGCAACTTTGTGGGGTGTAGAATCCTCATGTGCCTGTGTTCTGGTCACAGACTGCCTGCAGTGCCCCTACAGCAGTGGTTCCCAAACTTTAACAACCTGTAAACCCCTTTCACTAAAATGTCAAGTCTCGTGAACCCCCTCCTAAAAATGAATATTTCTAGAGATTTGCTCCTTTACCTGACTATAAATTATAAAAGCAGTGATCGTGGAAATATAAAATTTGTTTTTATGACATGCTTATTACACACTCTTATTTATCATTACAGTATTTTTATTACATTATGAAAATGGCAACACTCTTCCCAGCTCTCACTTTCGTAGCTTGTATCAAGGCGCCTATGTTTCATCAAGGAGTATCAGATGTGAAACAGCATGAAGGTATTTAAGAAGCCAACTCAAAGAATTCCTCCTACACAAGCATTCAGGTCTTGAGCAGTCCAGGCAAACAACGCACGTTACAACAAAGCTTAAACTTGTTCTTCATAATAATTTTATAAACAATACTAGCTGCCTATTTAATTTTAAAAACAGCAAAAAATATCCACCTCCCTTTCCCTTTCTTATAAGGAGTCTTGAAGTTTAAATCTCCTCAGTGTGACAGATATGCTTGCTTTGATCTGCTTAGCTTTTGGAAGTCCAGGGGCTCCGGGCTGCTGGCCCCGTGCTGCCCGGGGTCCCTAGGGACAGCTCTGACCGCCATTAGGGAATTTTTTCCCCGAGAACCCCCTATAACATTTTGCGAATCCCAGTTTGGGAACCACTGTCC